ACTTCCAAGTTCTGAAAAGCAACACTGTTGGGCGGGTCCACCGTCCCGTCCAGTTCCCTTACCAAGTGTCTGAGCTATTGGCGGGGGGCATCACCTGCTGGAAACCGGGTCCAGCGTCCCTTGCATAGACAAACTTCAAAACACATCGCAGCACCTACCACATTTGGGTTAGCACCCTCTAGTACGGTAGTACCCCCCCTTCTGCCTCTCCCACCTGTATCCAACTACTCACTTTTTTTCAAAGACAACCCTCACCAGTGCTAGAGGTGCTGGTAAGAGCAGACACCGCTAGCACCGGGGGGGCTCCATCTATTGGTGGGGAGCKTCCCATATACATAGTGAAAATGCAGCCTGAAGTCAAGAAAACTCTGTCAGCATTGATTGCTCTGGGGTCCAGAGGATTAACTGAGCAGGTTGTATCGGGYCGGGAGCCTCTTCGCCCTACGCCAGGCGCCAGATATGTGCAGCTGCCAACTGGTTCCCTGCTCCGAGAGAGGGGCTGATGCTGGCGCCCCTGCGTCCATCAGGCCTGCTTACTCCGCCCCATACCACTGCATGTCCACTACCGCCAACTGATGGGTGGAAAGGGGTCGGGAAAATCCGATGGTGGTCGTAACGGAACCCCTTGGCCCACCGTTGTCCAGTCTCTGAAATAGATCTGATAGTCTTTAGTGATCAGCTCCCTGTTGCCGTCATGGTTGCCTGCTTCGTTTCTCTGAGTTTGGCCTCCATCCCACTTGATGAAAGCGATTCGACCTCCGTCCGCGCCGCCCAGCCAGTCCCCTGAAAATTGTCGGATTTTTTGTTCTATTTCCTTCTTTGTTTGGCATAGATCCAACAAACTTTTGACCTTCTGCCATTGCGTCATAAGTTCTTGATGTATGAATTGTTTGATCATGTCTGTCATCTCCTCCCCGGCTATGCGGACTCCCTCTATGACATGTATACAACGTCGCCTCCAGATCGCCCACATAACCGCTCTCCTTCCTATTTTAAACATGTTCTCTTCAAAGGTATTGGATGCAGGGGAGGTCCGTGTCTCACACAGGACCGTCCTCCAGTCCCATGGCCAGGTTGTACCGGTGTCCAGCAGCCTCCAAATCCTGTCCCACCATCTCCATGTAAGAACAAATCCCGGACATTGCAAGAAAATGTGTTCTATGGTTTCCGGGATCTTTCGGGAGGGGAATGCTGCGTGACACGATTTGCACCACGGGAGTGCCAGTCCTTTTTGTTCCAGGTAGGTGCGGTCTATTAGCCAGTCATTGGTGGGGAGGCAGCGGTGCTCTATCTGCCACTGCAGTGAGGCTAGCTTCGCTGGTTTGGCCCTTGTGAGGGAGAAACGGGGTTGGAAGCTTCGCTGATTTGGCCCTTGTGAGGGAGAAACGGGGTTGGAAGTTGTGGCGAAGATTCAGGTTGGGCGCTGACCGACAGTGCGTCAGCCAGGCCCCCTGTATTTCGGTCAATAGGTTGACCGGCAGCAGTCTCCAATCACGACCTTGACCGAGTGAGTTCGTTCCAACGACCTGTTCCTCTGACGCCAGTCTGTCAATCCGTCAGAACTGGTCTATCAGATCTGCCAGTCTATAGTATGCGTCGGGGTTCCCCGAACTGAGCTGACCCTCGGCGGTAATTAATGAGGGCGTCAACCCTAATTAGCACCACCGGTTGACCTGAGGGTTTCGCAACCCTCAAGTCACAGGCGTTGCCTGCTTGGCCGTCCACCGGTTTTGCAGACTCCACTTGGATTCAGCTAGCCGAGTACATCCTGAGCCAGGAGTGGGACCTTTCTGAGTCGAAACAGGTGTGGACCCGTCTGCTCCGCCCTTCGTACGGGAATAAGAGAAAGAGCTCGATAATATGGCAAGGGATACTGCAGGCTTGGAACAAGATCCTCCTGCGAACTTTCAAACCACCAGCATCAAAGCAAGATGTGGCTAATCAAGTCTTATTTGAGAAACCCCTTATTCTGCAGCCGAACAAGGAGCCCTTTTCGGTCGGAGAAGGAAAGGCTTGCTTTGGAAGGCCGTGGATTGAAAAGGGAGTGTTTCAGGTCAAACCATACTTGCAGCACATTCTGTGCATGCCACTCGCGCACATGCGGCGCACTGCGCATTGCGCACGTGGCGTGCGCATCCGGTGCGCCAAAAAAATAAAGATGGGGATAAAGTACGGACTGTACTTCAACCAGGTAACCAGCCCGGAAATTATACCTCGATGTGGTGGCCCGTAGATAAAACCGTTGGATAAGCAGTTGTGCTGGATGAGAGCGGAGTGTGCGAATACTGCCTGTGTGGGGGATGCCTTGTGTGGTGTTGTACGTGTGTGTGTGTTTGAGTTGAAGGACACTACAACGATGCAGGAGTGGGGTACAACCATGCAGGAGTGGGGTGGATATCACGACCGGCATGGATCCACTCTTTACATCGTGCCATGGCTGTAGTGGTTAAGAGACTCAGCTTTTGAGGTTGAGGGCGCCAGTTCCAATCCGTGCTTGCACGTCGGAGGTCCTAAGGCTGATAGAGTATAGACTGTACTTCAACCAGGTAACCAGCCCGGAAGTTATACGTGGACGTGGTGGCCGATGGATAAAGTCGTTGGATAAGCAGTTGTGCTGGATGAGAGTGGAGTGTGCGACTACTACCAGTGTGGCGGATGCCTTGTGTGGTGTTGTGTGTGTGTGTGTGTGTGTGAGTTGAAGGACACTTCAGCCATGCAGGGGTGGGGTGGATATCACGACCGGCATGGATCCACTTTTTACACCGCCAGAATTTGTAGGGCCTCGCTCAACTACCCATGTCCGTTATAGTGCCTCTGTCACATCAGGACTGCAAGTAATCTTCAAGTCCAGCTGTAGGGTGGTGCGATGCAAGGGCCTCGCTCCACTACTCGTGCACAAAAGACAAAACATATGGCGGTGTATCTTTCCATGTTCTAGTGGAAGATTCATTCTCTTTTTTCTCTTTTTTTTTTTTTTTTTTTAGTCGTGAAGAGAGGCCCCAAGCTACCGTTGTATGGCCCTCGCTCCACCACTCTCCAAATGTGCAAAATGAGAATGAATCCTCCGCTAGAACACGGTAAATCCACCAACATATTTTTTGTCTTTGGTTCATGTGGAGAGCAGTGGAGCGAGAGGCTATCAGTAAACAGGCTGTAACAGTTTCCCTAATAAGACAAAAACAAATAAGAAAAATAAAAGGAAAAAAAATGGGCCTATCGGGCTGAACAAAACACCCTCAATCGAGAATCCGTAGTGTCCATTGATACAGGCGTTCTATTCGGTCCGATAGCTCAAGGAGAAGGGCGCTGTGGCACACCAGACAAAACGCTTGTATCAACGTTACACACACACACAAAAAGAAAAGGGCAAATCCACAGGTGCGCACCCATGAGGGTCACTCAGGCGTACCCCAGCGCACTACCCATGCGCACTCAGTGCGCGCAAAAATGCGCACATGCGCACACATCCCCCGTGAGCGCATGGCGCACGGTGCAGCGCAGCACACGACGCACCGCTCAAGTGCACCACAAGTATGGGTCAAAGTCGAACCATACTTGCAGCGCACCGGCACTGTGTGCTGCGCAGCACGCTGTGCGCAGACCCAAGGTGCGCGCGCACCTGCGCTCGCCGCGCATCTGGGTATGCGGTGCGATGCGCACGTCTGGTGTGCCGCACGCGTGTGCGCAATGTATATTTCCATGTTCTAGCAGTCCATTCATTCGATTTTGCTCATCCTATCGATGGAAGAAACAGG